ATACGCAACTATATAGGGAAGCTATGACGTGTGTGGTAAATCCAAAAGTTGTAAACCTAGATAAAATAACCTTACACGCAATATATTATATATAGTGTATGATTGTGTGATCTTCAAACTATAATTTAGTTGAGAAGAATGCGAGTACGTAATGGGTTCAAATGGTCCAAAGTTGCTTTAGTTTTTCAACATTCAAAAGCATTGAGAGTTGGTATGATCATTAATTATGATGTCTATACATACTTTTTACTATTCTAGATATATACAATAAAGAATGAGATTTAAAGTTAGAGAGCTATGGAATTGGAAGTGCAAGCTCATTTTATTAAAAATTGTCCATATTCGTTGAAAAAAAAAATCGTCCCGATGATAAAGGCCTCGATTCATGAATTCCCATGCGTGGAGGGATTATAAAAGGAAATAGAGACCACACAAGTACATTTAATAAAAGATGTGGTTACTATAGCTAAGAAAACTTTAGGGTTTCTAGTATAATAAAAGAAGGTGTAAGAAGATAGTTTTTTTTTTCTTTTTTGTTTTTCATTTTCCAATATTCTTTCTTTTTTCTCTTTTTGAAAATTTTCTCATGCTTTGTTCTTTGCTGTGAAGAAAGACCAATTAGTTCCCTGTGGTTGTGTGATGACAATAATGGCGGGAATGGCTATTGTGTGTGCAGGTGATTGAATTGCTAGTCACAAGTGCTTCCCATCATGGAGACAAAGGAGGCCCCTCTTTCAAAGCTAGCTGTTGAAATATCATAACCCCCCAGCACACGAATTCAAAGCCTGAATGGGAAAAGATCTTTGCTTTCATATGGGTTTTCAATGACTTACTTCCATATGGGATAACCTTTTATTTTAGGATTATGTAAAATGGTACAAAGAAAAAGGAAAGAACAGCCGATGGTTATCTACTTTTTTTGTTATATATGTATTAAAAACTGCATGTTTTGTATAATTTTTTAATTTGATTTGATTTTAATCAGATTTAATGGTCAGAAACTGATATTATCAATAAAGAGACATACCGGAGAAAATTCTACAAAAAAAAATACTATTTTATTGTTATATCGTTTGCTTAAAATCTTTATTACCGTTATTTTATACATTTATCATTATGATGTGATGTGACAATTCTAAATTTTTACAAGTCTTATTTTTCCTTTTTCTCCACTTTTCTACTTTGGTATTTTCTCTTAAATTGATTTTTAATGGGCCCCTCTTTCACATTTTTTTTAAAGGAAAAATTAAAGACTTACTTCCTAAGAGATAACCTTGGATGTTTTTTTTTTTTTTTTTGATTGTCTTAATCATTAAACCCAATTCCTTTCCATCTATCTTTTCTAAAAAGAGATAAATACACATGAACTTGTTGCCAAAGTTACTAGGTCATTTTAATGGCTATATCCATGGAAGGTTAGAATGAGGAGTCATGATGATGAGATTAAGCTAGATTCTCCAGAAGGGTGAGTTACTATTTACAGCCAATAAAACATAAGCATAATCATCAAGTTAATTGGGTTTTCTTATATATAATAATTATTCACAACTATTTGTGAGGTGAAATGAAACTATATAATTGATTTTGTCCTTCTCTGAGTGATCTCCAGATTTGGAATATTCAGGAGTTGCAAATTGTTAGAATTAAACTAGTAAAACTAGTATTTAAATCCTTGTTTTTCAGAGAAACTAGTTGAACAAGACTATAGGAATAGGATTATCTAACTATATATTCAGTTTGATCTAAAGTATCTGCAAACACATACACTTTGAGAGGTTCTAGAATATTGTCCACATCAAACAAAAAGTAGTGCTAATAATGCTGATGTAGTGAGCAGTGAAGGAATGTCTTATATAATTTGCCTGCACCACATGATCATCACACAAAGTGGGATTTGAGACACAAAGTGGGATTTGAGAATCAATTTTTTTTCTTTTTCCCTTTTTTTTTTTTTTTTTTTTTTTTCAATATTCTGCTAAAGGTTGCTTTTTCCTTCTCTATTTGATATTGGGCATATATAGACGTATACCATTTCATATCTGAACAAACGCACAAATAAAAATTTAACAAAATTTGGTGAAATTTATTACTTTTTTCACAATACCATAGCGTTTTTCTTTAACAAAAACAAAAACAAAAAACTCCTCTAATTCACTCTTCACCATCATTAGTCATTAATCTGTACCCTTAATAAAAAAGGGGAAAAAGCACGAGTAATTCTAAAAACTATTTTATGTTAAAGTAATGAATATACTACTTTTGCGTGAAATGAAATGAAAAATTTCCTGAAAGTATAAATTTGGCAGCAAGTCTATTTTGGTAGAGAGATCTTATGTACACACACACACACATATATATATATATATATAAGCATTAAATTTAATACTTTTTTCCTCTTTTAATTACCGGTCGAATTTAATTGAGAATAAAGTTCCGTAAGTTCACAAGCAGAAAATCCACCCTCTGAACTTGCCCTAATCTGCCTAAAGTCTCTCTGTATGCATGCATGGATATGATACATATGTATATACACATACATACATACATACATACACACATATATATATATATATATAACACTGTTGATATTAGATAGAATTAAATCCAAAAATGGGGTAGTTCCCACTACATTAAACAAGAGCCACAGCCTCAAATGGGTGAGCTCCAATAAAGCCAGAATCTCAAACCGATCCAATCGCTCATGACTCCTTTTAATTTGATAAGAATAACATAGACCTCTCCATTATCCTCATGTCACGTCTCATCTATTATCTTTTTTTGTTCTAATATAATTTTAATATAATTTGTGGTTTATGTCACCTAAAAGTTTCAAAAACGTTTTTAAGCAAACGTTGAAGGATTTTTTTTTTGACAGTTAAAGAGGGAAAAATTGAAAAATTTTGGACGGATTCATCGCAATGATTTAAGCAAAACTCAACAAAATGGGTGGTTGAGATGCATCAATCAGATCAAAATTGGGATGAAACTAATATTCCACTTGCAACTTGTAATGAAGTAGTGTCATAGGCAATACATACACATTGAAAAGGTCACAGTCTTAGCCATGTGCTTGATTGGTGAAAATTTCTTTGCAGCCTCTATATATAGAGTCCTTTCACTTGAGAGAATTTTGATTTCCCTTTCACACTGACGTGGAGAATCTAAATTTGTAGTATTCTCAAAGCACTGATTTCTCAATTATTTGAAAAAACAAAACATGTCACACTGTCACGGGATTATTTTCTAATTTGTACACTGAATTGCAAACTCAAACCCACCTATAAGAACATTGCCCGCATTTTCTTTAGAGGGCCAAAGAAAATATTCAAACCCCAACTCATTGCGATTAAGAACATAATAGAAGACAAATATTCGGTAGGGTAAAAAAAAAAAAAACACACTGTCAATATTTTAAACTGTCAGGTCTGTCCTAAAACAAAAAAAAAAAAAAAGTAGGTAATTTTAATGACACTTAATAAAAATCTAAAGGTCCAAAATTAATATAGTATTTATTTTATAATTGTATCAATATCTTTATATGTATATACATAGATGTATGTATGCATGCATGTATAGTTTTATAAAAGCATCTTCTTTGGCCACCTTTCTACGTGCACGTATATAAGAGATTCCAAACAGAACTATGCAATCCCAATATTGATCTAATAGGTGTACTTTGTTCAACATATATTTTAAATTTATACAGTAACAAAGGATTGCCTTCAAAAAAATAAAATAAAATAAAATAAAAACCCTTACGTGGAAGATAGCTTTTTTTTTTTTTTTTTTTTTTTCCCTAGTCATTAGTTTCCCATCGACCATTAGGAAGCAGAATATTATTTTAGACGTAGCAATAAAAATGATTTTAGTCTTACTACTACCACTTTTGGTCGTTAAAGTGTGATAAGTATATTTACATATGGTCTCTTCCTACGGGCGCCACGTGTCCCACCAATACTAAGAAAGTTAAAACGGGATTTGGATAGAGGTAGCAATCATGTTTGATTACTCTAACACGCTTGATTCTTCAGCTAATTGAAAAAGTGAAAAAAGAATGTTGGATTAGCAAGAATAGATCATTAAAAAGAGTAGCTATAAGATAATTGGTTTGTTTGATGATTGAACATGAGAAAGCTTTAGAACAAAGTATCCCCAAAATTCTCACACAAGCTTCGCAAAAGCACTCCCTCTTCATTTTCCAGGCCAAGCTTAAAAACTCTTCTCTTCTTTTCTTTCTTTCTTTTTTTCTTTTTTTAATTGCTTGATATAAATAAAAGCAGCTTATATAGGATGCAAGACCTGTTACGAGTAATGCCTATTTGTTTAACTTTACCACACTTGTCTAGCCACAAAAAACGTTAAAAAAAAAAAAGAAGCTTGTTCTTCAGTAGACATTGAAAAATAAGCAACCCATTGGTTTTTTTTTTTTTTTTTTTTTTTTTAGTACATCTTTTTGTGTGCAGGGATTTTTGCTTTGCCATATAGCAAAAGATTGAAAGCTACAGCACTATTAGAGTACAGACTACTAAGCACGATGAAGACGTATTCTAGTTGTAATATGTATATATCCTTAATAATTTGTCAGAAATTTCAGAACACTGGACTTAAGTTCTGAGGCATAAATATAAAAGAGAGAAAGAGAAAAATAGATTAAGAGTTGAGATGAATTAAAATTAATAGACTAATAATTTACATAAGTTAATAAATAAACTAAATTATTGTGTTCGCCCATAACTTGTCTAGTTATGAACCATAACTTGACAAGTTATTGTCCATAATTATCCATAACTTGTCTGATTATGAACTATAACTTGATAAATTTATCCATAACTTATCTGGTTATAAACCATAACTTGACAAATTATGACCTATTAATTTCTATAATTAAAAATTGACCTATATACTTTCTTAAACTTTTCATATTGGCCTATTTTTTACTATTTCTCAATATAAAACAGGCACGAGCTATAATCTGAGAATGCGGCTAACTACAATGCCCGTTCTTGAAATGTGACAAGTCCCCAATAAATCAAATACATGGAGGAAATATATATTTACAAAGGTTGAGCGGAAGCACCAAATCAAAGTACATAAATTAAACGAACAATTGAGAAAACTTGTAATCTCCCCATTCAGCTGCTCGAAGAAGGTCCAAAGTACATGCAGATGGGTGGATTGATCCTGAAAATGGAGAGTATTGCGGAAGGTACCGTCCAAATCCCATCGCCACAAATCAATCCCGAGGCAACTGCACCGGCATAGTCTTCAGCATCCTTCCTGTTCATTCGTTCCCACACAAAAAGTATCACCGTCCCGATGAACATGTCGATGGCAAAGTAAGCTCCAATGTAAAAGGGCACGGCCATGGCCATGGGGATGGGTATAAACTGAGACACCTTCTTAGGGGTTACATCCCTAAGGACGTTTATGAGTAGGGCTGCCACAAAGAATCCACAACACATAGCTAAGCAGTGCTTTGGCAGCTCAGAGAAGCCTTCGATACCTAGGATGGCCATTTCCCTGAAGATCACAGCATAAGGTGCTTTATAAGGTCCGTCGGGTGATCCAATATCGAAGGCGGTCCAAAAGAGCCAGAATGTGAGCGGGGCAACAACGCAGCCCATGGCTGTTCCCAGCAACTGGCTTACAAACATGGACTTGGCCGAGGATAGAGTGAGGTAACCAGTCTTGAAGTCTTGCATGAGATCGGCTGCGGTAGAGACAATGGACATCATCACCCCACAAGCTGCTAATCCAGCTATAACCCCACCATTGCTTCCAACCAATGACGCAATTATAAAAAGACCAATCTTCCCATAAGTCGAGGCTAAGCTCCAGTCAGTGAGGCCACAGCCATAGGAATTGCAGAAGGCTAAGGCAGGAGCAATGATGTATGAACCAAGAACCAGATACCACTTGAGGGGTGGAAAGATAAGTGGCATGGTTACGGTTGATATCGCGACAAGGCCAATGTATCCAGAAGCTGCAAACCAAGAAGGTATTTTGTCCTTCAGAAATATCTCATCCCTTTTCTTTTGTTCCATCGCTAGCTTAGAGCTCTCTGCATCTGCTCAGCACATATTTAAAACAATTAATGTCTGGCTAAAAATCCAATGTTTCACTGAACCAACATACCTTTTCTTTTTATAGTTGGAACAAAATACATGCACAGTTACAACCTTTACAATTTAGATATTCCGAGGAACATGTCAAAATAAACTAAACAGTAGAAGTGTCATTGCATTTTCAAAAGGACAGATCTCTCACAGAATCATAAAAAATTGTCTTTTACAACTTTGTTTCATCTAATTAATGGTACATACGGAACTTTTTCACTTGTTCGTACTAATATTCAATACACAATATTTTCAATTTAATAATGCTAGGGACACTAACTCCAGTCTCAATTTTTTGTACTAACTTGTCATTCTTTTATTAGTAGTTTTTGTTTAAAAGATTGCCATATTAATTAATAATAAAAGATTGCATTTACCAATGAAAGATGACAACTCAAAATTGGTGCAAAAAGTTGGAATTAGAATATGTGTCTCTAGCAATACACTTTTCAATTTATGGATAACAATAACTAGATAAAAAATTAGAAGATTAGAAGATAATGATTCAAACGCCAATGCTCCGACACATGGCTATGACAGAAAATGACTGCAAAAAGTCTATGGAACACATTTCAGATATCAAGGAGGACGTATATTCTCACCTAATATTTCTCTAATGACAGGAAGATCAGCTTGTTTGGAGCGTTTGTTGCACAATTCTTTAGCAGTAATGGCTATAATCTTGATTAAATTGTACAGTCCATCCCCAAGGATAAGAGCAATAGATATAAAGACCTGCAAAAATACATAGCAAATGAGGAACAATACTTTTTGAGTAATGCCATACGTTAATTCATTATTAGGACTTAAAAGAAGCGTTGTCAACCAACCCCGTGTTTGTTTCAAGGTTTCAAACCAAAAAACTCAATTCAAACCATAGTTCAAGATTCAAATTGATGTTTGGTAGAGAACTAAATGAAGACAATTCAAACCATTAACAATGGTTTAAACCCTTGAGTTTTGATTGTACAAAGCATTAAGGCCCAAGTGTTTCAAGATTTTACAAGTGATAAACACCCCCTCAACAAGTCAACAGGTTTTACGATCATAAAATTTAAATACCAGAATATAGCTAGTGTAATTCAAAGAGAATTATGTGGAACACACCTTATATCCATAAAGGCCTTTAAAATCATTGCTGCCAAGATCAGCTGGATACCAGTCCCCAGCATGTGTGGAGATGATAGGCCAGAGAACACCCCATGATATGATAGCCCCGAAAAGAACTGAGCAGTTGACTATGTGAGGGCAAATGAGACCACATCCAACATAAGTTGGACTAAAGTCGAAATAAAACCTACACAAAGGATATTGTACAAGAAGTAATCGCACAGCAATGGTTTATGGAAGGGAATGAGAAATGCCCTTTTCTTGTTGTCTTCTAGGAAGTATCATAACTTACGTATTCTTAAATAGTGTCAATCCAAAGCTGGGGAAATTGTCAAATCCACATGCATCACCAATCCCACTGAAGAACCACTTAAAGCAACTCCACACCAAACTTATGCTTAAATATTTTCCAAGACAACGTACTTGTTTCCTGTGAAAACAAAATTATACAAACACTATAAAAAGCAATTATTATGAAATTTTATATATCACTACATGCATTAGATATTTTTTGAAAAACAACGCTAACTTTGGGAAAGGACAAGGGGATAAGACTTGAAGAATAAACAATGTCAGTAGCGGCAAAGAGCTACTACTTAACACTACTGGAAGCTGGATACCAGTTAAAGGAAATATAAAGTAACGAGGAACTTGAGGCTTACAACACGACTATGTCGCTACTACATCCACCAAAGACGAACTAAAAAAATGAATGATGAAGTCGGTCAACATTTTTAGTTAGTCATCCATAGATAACCAGCCAAGCAAACATAATCTCTACTACGCCATGAAAATTTTTACTATTTAACGTGCTTTCTCTCATATATACACATATGCAGAGTAATAAGAGCTTAATCTTTCTGGTCTTTACCCTGCAAGTTCAGCTCCAGACTTCGTGTGAAAGCTATTTATCAACATAGCTGTTGCAGTCCCACTAGGGTAGGTAAGTTTATAATCCAAGACCATAACCTGAAATTAATTGCATAGAGATGTATGTGAAGGTGAGTACTGCGCCAAATGCTAATAGATGATAAGCATGAATGTCAATAGCCCCTTTACAAAGGAATTAGCGTAGAAGAAAGTGTTAGATACGAAAGAGTTTTTCCACTCTCATCTCATAAAAGAATTGGCGGTCACAAATGCCTGAAGAAACTATATTTACAACACACGTCTTTACAATATCAAAGGGTGCTTAATGAACAATCTGAAAAACGAAAATTTTGCACAGCCAAGTTGGATGCTAAATGCTCCAATCGACTGGACAAAAACACCCACAAGGAAGCACATATGGCAAGAAGCCAACAAATAAAGGCCATGTGTGATATTCGTGAATAAGAATGGAGACGGAAGATTATTTTCCTCACCTTCCAATTTATGCATTTACTTTCAAAATAAAAAATAATAATAAAAGGAAAAAAAAACTAATTTGGTGGGCCTGAATGGTGTGGGAAATGGAGACCTAATATTGTTTCCATTTGACTTTAAATAAACATGAAATTACTTTTGCACCCTAACTAAATTTAACCAATAATTACATACAAAGAGGACATTTTAGAACTTAAGGCCTCATTCATTTTGTTAGTTGGAATCATAACTTAAGTTTATGCTACAGTATTTTCTCTCACAAAAATTCAAATTTAACTTTTTCTGCTACAGTGTTGTCTCTCACATGAATTCACTTTTAAGCTATTAATTCCTGTTCTTTTCCCTTTTTTTTCCCCCTTTGATGGATGTATTAGGATTTCTGTTCTTAAAGTTAGTAAAACAGTAAAAACTAGAAGATAGATTGTTCAAGTTCCACTTCCTATTACGTAATAACTACTTAAAAGGAAATAACTAATCCCATTTCTTCTTTTTTTTTTTTTTTCCCTTGCATTTCTAAAACCATTCCTTTTTTAATTACACCCCATTAAAAATTAACAAACAGGCCCTAAACTCATTTGGAAAAAAAAGAAAGAAAAAAGAGAAAACTACTTTTTACAGAAAACCCACATTCCCCCAGGGGAAAAAAAAAAGAAAAAAGAAAAAAAGAAACAGATCATACGAAATAGATTATAGTGCTTAGCTTAACTAACCAAGTACAAAAAGGCCATTTAAAAAAAAAAAAAAGATCTACCTTGCGAAGTGGGACAAGACTGAAGAGCCCCAGAAAACTAACAACAAACAAGAAACCCATCATCCAACCGAATCCTGGGTTCTTCACATCTTCTGCTCTGTTTCCCGGATAATCAGCTCCGATTAGCTGATACGTTCTCTCGTCCATCGCAATAAGATACGAACCAAAACCACCTGCTCTCCAATTATCATATTCATGTAGAAATCAAACCAAATTTAGTAATAATCCCACCACTCAAAATCAACAATATTAATCCGAATAAACAGAAACTCATTGAAATTAAACCAAATTTAGTAACAAACCCAGCAACCCAGCAATCCAGCAATCCAGCAATCAAAGCCTCGTTCATTTCACCGATTTGAGTTTCAGTTCTAAATTTTTAGAGTGAAAACTCTAGAAAATATCACATCTAATTTTTTTACGGTGAAAAACTCTCAAAAAAATATCATTGATAACTCAAATTTGTTTGTGAAGTGAACGAGGCCAAAGCCATGAACTTGAATATAAATCTCTTTAAGAAATATTCATAATCACATCAAGCCTGGTTTAGTAAGTAGGAAACAATTAACAACAAAAAAACGAAACTTTATTCAAATTTAACCAAAATTAATCAAAGTCACGAACTTGAATCTTAAAAATAAAAATGGTAATAATGATTTCAGAGAAAATTTAGTAAAAGGCAGCAATCAAAGTGAACGACTTTAATCCACAAGAAGAGACAAGAAGGATGAAAATACCGCTAAAAGCGAGGCCATAGCAAGCGACGACGCAGGTCTGAATGACGGTGTTCTCCTGCCTGGTGAAGGGGCGGACATGGAACCCTAATCTGGAGAGAAACCCAGTCCACGACTTGACGGAGAAGAAGCCGAGCAAACCAGCGGCGACGTTGAGGGAGGGGATGATCCCGACCGTCAGATTGAGCTTGTGGGTGATAATGCAGAAGAGGGCCCCAAGCAAGGCGCTCACCACCAGCCCTCTGATCGTGATCTGATCCTGCCATTCGGGAACGGCCTCCTCGGTCTCCACGGCAGTGATCTTCTCGGAATCGTCGAGCAACGGCTCTGATATCTCCACTGATGATTTTCTTTCGGTACCCATGAGATGGGATGGGATGGATTCTAGTGCTTGGAAAATGGGTCAAATGAAAATGGAAACTTTTTTGCTTTAATTTTTTGGGTTGAAAATATGGGAAGAAAAAGAAATGGCGTGTGGGTTTTGGTATAATTTAGACTGGGTGCAGAATGGATGATTCACTGTTAAGAAATGAGAAACTTTGGGATAGAAATAGAATTTTGTGATTTATTAAGTAAATGTTTCAAATTTAAAATTATTATTTAAATTATTTTTAATTTATATATATTTTTTATAAAAAAATATTATAATAAATTATAAATTATGATTTAAATTATAACATGAATACATTAATTAAATGTACTCTAAAAGATTTTTTAATAATATCGTTACACATACACTTTAAATGAAATTAAACGATTTCAAATAAAATTTTAGACCCGTTTAGTTTGTTAATTTAAATTTTTAATTTGAATTCAGATGTGATTTTATATGAGAGCCTTTTATTATAGTAAAAAAGTTTACAGTGACTGTTTATGAGAGCTTTTTACTGTAACAAAATTTGAATCGGTGAAATGATTGAAACCTAATTTTTTATACTCAAGAAATTACTCTAATTATGGCCTTATTCATTTTACCAATTTGAGTTTTTAATTTTAAGTTTTTATAATAAAAAAACTTTTAAAAAATATCACATTTAACTTTATCTGTTACAATAAAAAAAATTTAAAAAATATTAAATTTTAATTCAAATTAAAAATTTGAATAAAATGAATGAAGCGATATCTTACTGTCCAACTAAACCAAATAAGTGAACGTTTTCCTTTTTGTTTTTTTTTCTTTAAAAGAAAAATGGTCTGTTGGGAAGTGTGAAGTCGCAATACCAAGGGATGATAACGAGGATGTGGGTTTTTTTCTTTTTCTTTTTTTTTTTGCCCTGAACGGAGTAAAAAAGGGCCACGTGGTTTGCAGTGAATTACTCACTGGGAATTGGAGTTAGAAAAGAGCATCGGGAAATGGGATTCTAACCCCCGGCGGTTTGGACGTTTGTGGTGGTGGTGATGGCCGTGGCAGCTCTCAGCTCTGACGCTTACTGCTGAGCCAAGCAAAAAGCCGAAAAGTCTTAAAGTCCGTTGTTTATTTAAGTTTAAAATTTAAATTTTATTACAATAAAAAATTTTAAAAAATAATTATATTTAATTTTTTAATTATAATAAAAAGTTTTTACATAATATTACATCTCAATTTAAATTAGTGAATCAAATGAGGTCTTTAGAAAACGTTTAGTAAAAAAATTCATATCATAATTTAATTTATAATTTATTATAATATTTTTTTTTAAAAAAATACACGTAAATAAAAAATAATTTTAATATTATAATTTTAATTTATAAATCAAACGTCTCCTTATTTAATTCAATTTCAAACGCTTCTATACGTTGTTCAAACAAGCATCCAGTTTTTCTGGGGATTTTTTTTTTTTTTTCATTTCCCCTGCTTTGAAATTCAGTTCAAAACGGTTGTGTTTTGCGTAACTGACTTGCCCATTTTACCAGTATACTTTCAACCGGGGAAAAGCAAACGAAAAAGAAATAGAGTAATAAAAAGAATTTAAAAATTAAAAATGAAATATGAAAAACATTGTCCTTTTTACTTTTTACTTTACTGTCGTATGTTGGAAGGTCAGAAATCCATAATCCATTATCCACATTACTCTCACGAAAGCCCATACAACCAGCTGCCTCTCTGTGGATTCGGCCCATAGTCTGTAAGGCTAGGAGCCCGTACTTCAAGCCCATTCAGGGAGATATTTGTTTGTATGTTTGTGTTTGTGTTTTTTTTTTTTTTTTTTTTTTTTTTTTTTTTTGGGG